TTTTATAAACGATTAAATTGTAGGCTAGTTATTTGTAGCGGCCAAAAACTGTTGTCCCGTTACCTACTTTTAGGAATAAACAATCTGTCCTCTACTTAGTGATGTAAAAATCATTATACAGGTTGTTATGGTCATATTATTATAAAGATCAAAATAACTAGGCCTACAATTTATTCTTTAGTTGGTGTAATTTTGATGAAACAAATAACAATACATTTACAGTCTTCATTTTATGCTAGAATGTTTTACTATAAACAATGTAGGCTATTAAGAACTGCAGTAAAGTCCTTTAGAGAACCTGCAATATCAGTACCTTCAATACCTTCAATATATATTGGGTGAAATATCAGTTCGTTATACAAATAGTACTTTATATTATTCCCTGCGATATAAATTCCGATTTTTGTTTTGAGTATTAAAGGTACTGTATCGTGATATGAATATTTAAAGCCATAGATTCTTTTCAAATAGACTTTCACACTGTGCTGTGGTGGTTAAACAGGTTAGTTCAGTTTGGTTTAGTTTATGTTAATAAAAACCAGGTAACACCTAAATAAATACAAATTGTTCCAATAGCATCATCATTGGGTTGGGTTAGTGTTGTACAGTTTTCTATCAAAACTGATTGTCAAAAGCGCCAAATTATACCTAGTCGTGTCTTTTCATGAGTAACTTAGCTTATAGAAAAAAGCTAAACGTTTTGTTAATGATACCTTGTTTGTTTATAAACTATAGGCCTACCACTTTCAAAAGAACCTGCGCAGAACCATGGCTGTCTCGCGCATGTAGGGGTGATGGTGGGGAAGGGCCTGGAGCAGTGGTGGGGATAAGTCGTTGGGGCGAGGTGTCTTTCCCCACCACTCTGACTGTCCTGCTGTCCTGCATGCACGACTCATACAGGTGCGTGGTTTTTTTCTATGTGGTAGGCCTATAAGCTAACATAACCTAAACGCCGCAATGGTCTGTAAAAGATTGGCGGGTGGTCCTCTTTTTAAAAAGACCCATAGGCTAACAGATTAATAAGCAGGCCTATTTCTTAATCAATATATTTTATATAAATTTGAAGCTATTGTCAGTAGGCCTATTAATTTATAGAAATTGAAAATTTGATAGGATAGTATAATACATTAAACTTTCTCTGCAGAACTTTACCCCATAACATTGCTGTTGCAGTGCAATGTAATTTTCAGAATCAGTCTTCTTCGCTTTGTATTTAGGCTAAGTAAAATTGATTTTCCTTGCTGCATATTAGGGAACATTATTACTATGTTTAATAGCCATGATAAGGTACAGTAGACTCCCTCTTATTCGGACACCTTTTAACCTGACATCGGTTAAACCAGACAACACTCGGTGGAAATTACATCTCTTAAAGCCTATTTTGCTTGGAGCGACTGTAGCGATAGTCGCACAGCGATTATCGCTCAGCTACTATAGCTGACAAGGCGGCCGTTTTGCTTAGAGCGATTGGTTTTCGGTTGCACAGCGATTTTTCATAGTTAGTTAAATATCAGCACTCACAATGGTGAAGTCATGAGTGTGAATTGTAAGTCATTAAAGCGTCTCCTCGGTGAGGATTTAGGAGACGAGGCTCCACTCGACCCTAGTGGAAGTATCAATGGACGATCAATTGAAAATACATAGTGATGCGTAGGATTAGGGACGGATACGTATCACTAGAGGTCACTAGATAGGACATAAATAGAAAACTGTAGTGATATCTATGAAAAATATATTTAATAAAAAAATAGTGATATCAATAAGAGTACATGAATGTCGAAAAATAAAACCTGGAGTCTAAATTAAAAAAAAAAATATTCATACAAAAACTGACACAGTATTAACGCCCACACTACGTAAATAACACATAACAACTTGGACCAGTCAAGCATTTTATATTTAATAAATTTGAATAGACGTAAATTACCTTAACAAATTTAAACAAGTCACCTGTTTCTACTAAAATTTAATTTAGAAAATGAAATTAATGTGTAATGAAATATAGCCAAAACAGTAGAATCGTAACAGCACATGAATAGAAAAATTAATGTGAACAAAAAAGTAAATTATGGTTAATTTAACCCCTATTATGTGCCTACTGAGTGAACTGCACTGTTTTGAGGTTCTGCGCATCAGTCGCGGCGCGATTATCGCTTAGACTGGTCCCCGGGGCAGTGGTCCACGACTGTAGCTAGCGACTCTTGCGATAGTCGCTCCAAGCAAAACAGGACAACGCAAACTCCGTCAGAGCAGTGCCCGGCTACTATCGCGGAGCGATTATCGCCATGCGACTATCGCTGCAATCGCTCCAAGCAAAATAGGCCTTTAACCGGGCAATTTTTATCAGCACATCGGTTTAACCGGACTAGGTCGGCAGGCAGTGGGAGGTAAGCATTACTGAAACGACTGTTCTTGTGTTAAGGATATGAGAACAGTGATTATGCTCTACTACATTTTAGTCAAATACTGTATATACAGTATGCATTTAAACGGTCAGTTTTAATGAGTTTGTGGGACGTCAGTTTAACGAGAAAACCCATTATCCGGACTGACCTCGGCCCCGAGAGTCTGGATAAGAGGGAGTCTATTGTAACTGTAACTATAACTGTACATTTAACTATGTTATAGTGACACAAAAAAAAAATATAACAGCCAAAACTTCATGCAATAACCCCATAGTACCACATACAATATGTTTACTAGTGTGAACTACGCTGTACATTTAACTATGTTATAGTGACACAAAAAAAAAATATAACAGCCAAAACTTCATGCAATAACCCCATAGTACCACATACAATATGTTTACTAGTGTGAACTACGCTGTAGGCTTCACATTGAATGTGTTGCCCATGTTTATTAAATTAACCTAAAACAGAGTTTTTTTTGTTACAGAGTCATTGATTGAGGTGCTGGTGAACTGATTGAAGACTTAAACATATTTTGTTATTAGTGTGAGGTGTGATAGTACAGACTGTTGTGATAAATTACCACTGTTTATGATTTACTTTATATGTTTTAAAATAAATGTTCTACATAAACTATTAAAATTGAATGATCATTTACAATGCCACTATTTCCAGCTGTAATAATTTTTTTTATACTTCTTTTAATTATTTTTTACTTTGTTTCTAAACATAAGTTCTGATGTAGTCAATATTTGCATAATATGCACTTTCAAAAATATAAAATAGTAAACACAACAGCTTTTTATATACCATTGTTATTATTTATTGGTGTTTTTGTATTGCAATCGTTAAGTTGCATGCGTAGTTGCAGATGCATTGGTCTGTTTAAATGTATAAAGGAACTAAAATAAAATCTGAAAATTCCAGACTAACATAAAGATTATTCAAACAAGGTTGAAGTATGTAAAAAATTCCAAAAACTCTTATTTTGAATTTGGTAAGTTTAATTTGATACCAAATATCGTTGACCTTATTTCCTATATTTTCTCAGAATGGTATTTCAATTTATTTTATAGTTGCAATGATTCTGCTCCACTCAAATTCCAGGGCATGGACTGCAATCAATATCTGCCAACATCAAATTCGAGAAAATCTTAAAATTTGTTAACTCACTTGTATATACCGTATAACATTTAAATACAACATGAAAAATAATAGGATTTCCTGGAATTTTTCTAAAATGTTTGAGATCATTCTCAACATCCCAGGCAATTTTCTTGAATATACTCAGATCATTCATAAAAAATATTCTAAGAAAATTTTTATATAGCCTAGAAATCTGGAGAACATTCTCAGAATATTCTGGAAAAGTACTATATTCTGAAAAAGTGGTATATTCTAAACATATTAAGTTTAAATTATTAATTTTGTCAAGTATGACAAAATAACTTGAAAAATACAAAAAACAATGTTTTTAGAGTAAAATACCCCCGCCGCAGCAAACCTGCCGACTAAGCGAATTTCCAGTTGCCTGAATTGATTTTCAATTAAATGTCTTAATTAACATTAATTTTTATGAGTACATAGGCATGCTGCTACAGGGAGGGCAAAAAAGTGTGTTTTTTAGTGAAATATTAATAACTTAGTATAAAATGAATAAATTTACCAAGTTTGATCAAAATATATCCATAAACAAGCAGACTACAACATTTTACAATATTCCCCATAAGAATAACATGGGAATTTTAAAATAACAATTATTTGAATTTTCTCCGTAACTAATAATAGTACAAAAACACTTTGATATACTAAATTATTTGTTTTTTTAAGCTCTTTAAGATGGTCTGAAGAGAAATTGGGAAATTTTGCGTTTAGAGGGTCAAAAATTAGAAAAACCCATTTTTACCCCATAAAACCCCGTTCCCATGGTCCGATCATGCTGGTTCGCGAACTCATTCAAGTTTATCCCGCCTTACACCTTCAAACCAAATTTCATCAAAATCGGATAAAAATTACTCAAGTTATCGTGTTCACGGACATATATATATATATATATATATATATATATAAATCTATATATATATACATATATAACAATTTGAACGAATGGCGTTTTTGGCCTCTGGGGACATCAAAATGAAAAAGTAAATCGGTCCCGGGCCTAGGTCTTACCATGCCACCTACGGTAATAGCTACTTCCCTATAGGGAAATTCGCTAAAATGGGAAAACTCAATTTTTAGTCCATTCCCATAGTTAGTATTAAAGTAACGAATAGGTACTTAAAATGCAACGGATGATGGGGGTGACAGAGATGACTGACTCAAGTCGTCAATCGTCACGGAGGTAGCTATACTAACAGCAGAACTGAAACTGAAACTGAACTGAACTAGTAAGTTATGACCATGACTCCTGAGTCGACTCGTTGAAGACCAAATACAACTGAATTGGTTCTTTCTGGCGCATGCGCAGTAGACTAGTCCAATTCCTGCCCTGAAACGCTCGCGAATTGAGACGGTGATGACTGATCTGAAACTGATAGCTACCTTCAGTCAAGCCAAGCCGTACTACTTGGTTGGTTTCGCGACGAATCTAGTAATCGTGGTTAGAATTAGGACGTAGACGGGAATCAAGTGGGTCGAGTTGAACTTTAACCGTATTAAAATTAAACATTTTTTCTTTGTGTTTCATAGTACAGTAATATTAAAATAATAAATAAAAATAAGTAAATAGTATGCAGCCTGGTATGGAAGATACCGTCATAGAAAATATAGATGGTGTGCCTGTAATTCGAATTCGAAAAGAACTATGGAAAAATCCACGAACACCGGTAAGAGAGAAACGACCGATTTGGACAAGTGATGAAGTAATCAGAATGATTCAAATAATAAAAGACAAAAATATTCTTTCCCTTTTGTATGGCGGGAAATATAGAAGAAACGATGTTTTCAAAGTTGTTGCAGCAAATTTAAGAAGAATGGGCTACAATAGAACAGCAGAGCAAATAAGCACCAAGTGGAAACACCTTCGTCTTACTTATGCCCACGCTAAGGCGGAATTAAAATCCGGAATATCCACCGCAGGACAAGAATGTGCATTTTATGAACAAATGGATGACCTACTAGGAGATAGGCTTCATATTGTTGGCATTGATGCCCCAGGTCAGTGAAAATATTTTATTGGATTTGGTGCTAGACCTATTAAGTAGATAAACATACTCCCTTAGTAGGCTAGATTTCTCATCCTTACTGAACAGCTGAAGACTATTTTATTGCTCTTTTATGGTTTACTGCAGAGGTCGTGTTTTGTTTACAATTTGTTTCTTGTTATTTCAGTCATTTAAAATCCTCATTTTGGTACAGTTTCTTAACATTTTCAAATCGATAGTTTCAATCAATAAGTAGCATAGCCCAGCTAAGAAGCTGTACCCCTGGGCTATGCTAATACTGTACCGAACCGATTGAAACTAGCAATTCAATTAGTAGGCTACACCTTAATGTGATTTTTTCATTAGGTATCAGCAAGTTTGGTTAGTTTTCTAGCTTAGGGGTAAGTTAACACTTTGCCCTCGAAAAGGCAAAGACTTGGGGGGGGGGGGGATATTGACCTCAGCTGTTTCTAAATCAGCTTGTCATTGTTTACTCAGCGCCGTGCCTCTAAGATTGTACGGCCAGCACTACTGGCCATTGTAGTTTCTCTGTTAGGTTGGTCACCATTCTGCCAACCCAGCTACATCAGCTTGTATCAAGTATTTTGTTTATGTCAACTATGGTAACTTAACCCTCCAAGTGTCCATAGTTTAGGCCTTAATGTCCACCTATTTTTGGCGCATTTGCAAGGTTTTATTAAAACGGATCTGAGAAGCTTAAAACAATGTTAATTCTAATGTTCTATACCATTTTGTTTGGAAAATCATGGGCTTCAATATCATACATAAAACATAAGGAATATTTGGTTCAAAAAAATTTTTGAGGTAAAAAAAAATATTTTGGAAAAATTGAAAAAAAAAATAAGTTTGCGCTCAATGAAATTGTATAAATTATAGGCCTATAAATATTTGAAAATAGCCACTTTGTTCTAAATTTTATGAGGATTACAAATATATAATCATACAGTGAGGTAAGTTATCAAATAAATACCTAAGTAACGAGTGAAAAACAGATTTCAGTACATTGCGTTTAGCTAAGAATGCATAGCCTAACCATAGCTAGGAATCTGGCTGATAATTTACATCAATATCACTACCTACTTCTTCAGGATCATCAACCAGCCCTTCAAAATCACTTAAATCTTCTTATAATGCACCACGTATATCACTACTTTTGATTTTTAACACGAAAACAATGATAAACGTAATAAAACACATCAGTCATCGGTCCGAGGATAACCAAGCTGCTTACAAATACGAACGTCAGCTGTCTGCTACAATTACGATCGGCTCGGAGAACATACAGCGCTGAGACAGACCTCTGGAGAAAGCTTAGAATATAACAGAAAGAACGATACCTAACTTGATCCAGTTCAATCCGATTCAGTCAGTCATAGAGCCTTCGCCGTAAACGATGTGACACTACACAAAGTGTGTAGCGCGTCGATTTTTCGACGATGGACGCTCGGAGGGTTAAGGGCCAAGGTTTTACACATTTGAAACTAAAGATAAATTAAAATTATAAGTTTAAGTCTAAGTTTAATATTATTATATTTTATTGAAAGCTAATGAAATAAGAAATAAAACTAACCCTCCGAGCGTCGAGAGTCTACGGGTAGACGAACAAAACCCCCTGTGGGGCATCGAGCATCTAGACGCGTAGACAAACACGCAGTGTTCCGTTCAATTCGTTCTAAATCCAATTCGACGCAACGGGACTTGATTGATATTGGTATCACCGTTTACGGCAGAAGTTGGGCTTTCTCCCAATGTCTGTCTTGAGCCACTAAACTGTATGTAGCGATCGTAGCGCAGCTGTAAACTTTGTCAATGTTTTGTTTGTTGACATTGACAGTTGCTTGTTTACTAACACTTGTAAATGGTGGATTGTTGTTTTAGATGTCGTGTTAATTCCTAAATATGGATTGTAGTGACATTTGTGATTGTTTATTTGAGAGTGGTGATGAGTTAGATGATCCTGATGAAGTAGACATAGACAGTGATTTAGAAATAAATGAACCTCCAACATCAGATTCAGACTAGCCTATATTAGCCTATTATCAGATTCTGACCATAAACGTGGCACAGAAAATCACTTTTACTCCTATAACTTTTTGTTAACTATACTTTATCTCATTAAACCCCAACAAGAAGCGCATTGTGTTATCCATTTGAAACTTTAGTGGTGATTTTATAACAACACGATTACCTTCTTTAAGTATTTCAAACTGATTTATATCCACAGTAAAACTAGCTTTTTCTAAAAACCCTCGTATGTGCTTCTGTAGCGATTCCATTGTCCAATGTCCACTGTTAATCACCATAGGTGTAAATATGTTTTCAAAAGTCATACTAGCAGTTTGCACTAAATTATAAATGTTGTTTTCAGAATAAAAACCAATCAACGCTATCTGGTACTTTGAAGTTTCACCTAAATGGATCGGGTGCTCCAAATGGATATTTAACAATGATGTATTTCCCGTCAGTTTTAAAATAGTCATATCTAATATAATATATTAGATATGAATATATTCTTAATTATTTTTGGGTAAACTGTCATATAAATCATTAATGCTTTCTCTTGCGCTTTCTTTTAGTGTTTTATAACGGGTTTCCAATTCTAGGATTTTACTAACAAGTTCGTCCAATTGTAGTTTTACCACAACATCGTTTGCTTCAATGGCCTTACCAACGCCGCTTATTCTCTTATGGTTTTGAATCTAGAGCACATCCACAGTATTAGTTGTGGTAGACTTTTTCGGCACAATGCGTTTTGTTGTTTTGATCACGTTTTTAATGAGTTTTTCCAACTCTAAAAGGTCTTCCTTAATTGCAACATCGTTATTGTCTATGGATTTAGCGACATTGACAATGCGCCTCCCCTTAACACTCAAATAGTTGCCCGATATACTAATGCTATTCACCAAAGAATCGGTTGTTTTTAGATGCCCCATTAGCTTATCCTCTATTTGTTTGAACATTGTTTTAGCTCCGCTTTTGAATCCATTCTGTAAATTTCGTATCTTTTCATCAACTAGAGATTCACTACACCATCTGAAATACTCTGGGGTTCTTGTAGTTAAATCTGTTTGAATCAAAAGATAATCCATGTCTAAATATATACCTTAAAAGGTTTGTTTTACTAAAATAAAAAAAAAAATAAAATACTTTATTATAAAATTATAGAAACCAACATAACCATACATATTTGTTATTATTCAGAACATGTTCAATTTCATTCCAACTCACACCATTTGAAAATCTCCTTAAAACCTCTAAACACAAATGACCACATATTGGCGGATCGTCATATTCCTGGTATCTATTCATATTGTATAATATACCATCGTCCATGTTCACATATTTTTTCAATTCCAACAACGGTGGTGCGTCTCCAAATGAGTCGAAATATGTAACTCGGTTGCCTGTTTTCTTATAACAAGTCCAGTGTGTACCACCCGATTCTAAATTGCCTAGATTTATAATTCCACATTCGTTTTCACGCGGTTTGTTTGGTAAGGCTTCCCTCATAAAAACACCACGAAAGTTTCTTATTCGTAAAACATTAGCCCAACGCTCCAAGTCAGATATTGTTAATGGGCTTATTTTTTTTTGCACCACTCAAGACCCTGTTCAGTTCTCTGTTTATATGTCTAGTCAAACCGGCACCACTTGCATCTTGATCTATCAGAGTATCCAACTCACTATCAATTAATTTCTTAAGCCATGGCACAAACTGATCTTTCAACAGTGACGCGACTTTGCCTTTTATCAGTGGTGATGCAACTTTCTTAAAATATGGAATATTGTTTTCAGCCAGCTCCAATACTTCCCGCAATAAACCGCCATCAATCACCTCCTTCAGTTGGGCATAATCGAAAATCAACCTCACTCCAGTGTTGTTTTTTATGGCTCTTTCCACCTGCTTATGTTGGTCACTATCAAGCGATACTTCAACATTACCGTTTTCCAGCTGTTCCTTGGGGAGATATAGTACCTAGCACATTTGAGCTTTTTGTTAGCAATTCGCAATTTGTTTAGTTGATTCTTCGTCAGGTTTATCTTACGTTTATACCCCATTGTTATTATGCTATATACACACTTTACCAATTCTCAATCGTTTACTTAATTAAGACTCGTTTGCACATTTAAAGTCTATATTACAAGCACATCTATATTTCGATATATAGCAATGGAGTTGTACTGTCGCGTGTGCAAAATAAACACGGCGTCTGAAAACATAAAGACCACAAAAACTAGAAATAAAAGATGGTTGTCTACATCAAAATGTGCAGTTTGCGGCAGTGTGAAACACTCGTTTATAAAGGAGCCATATGAGGTTTTAGAAGCCAAGGAGTTGCACAGGCCGGTTATTAAAAAGTTCATTAAACGCCGAATAGTCACCAAGGGTATCGACGATTTGTGGGCTGCAGATTTATTAATAATGAAGCAGTACGCTAGGGAAAACAAGTGGTAAAGTACATTTTAAATGTCATAGATACATTTAGCAAATTCGTTTGGTCCGAACCTTTAAAGAAAAAAGACGGGGCAGAGTTGACAACAGCTTTCGAGAAGATTATAAAATGAGCAAACAGTGATGGTCATAAAGCACCAAAGCTTTTACATACCGACAAAGGTACAGAGTTTAAAAATAAACCGTTCAACAACATGTTGAGGAGGCATAATATCAAACTATACCATACAGAGAGTTCCCCAATAGGAACACTCCCCAGGAGAGAAGTCCGCAATAATTGAAAGATATCATAGGACATTGAATGAGAAACTTAAAGTAAAATTCCAAGTCCGACAATCCCACAAGTGGTACAATATACTACAAGAAGTCACAGATGAGTATAACCAACACGATTATCACCACACTATTAAAATGAGACCAGTAGAGGTCAACAAAGATAACGAGGCTGATTTATTAAAAATCTACATTGAGCGTGAACACTAAGTTCGTAAAAAAAAACAAGTTCGACCTCGGTGATATAGTTCGTATCCCAACGAAAAAAGATGTGTTTGCGAATAAATGTAAACAAAACTGGACTTCGGAGATATTTACAATAACACGAATTCTAAACACTAGACTTATAGGATCGCCGATCAAAATGGCGAAGAAATTATAGGCGGATTCTATGAAAAGGAACTGCAGAAGACTGCTCTCTGAGTGTCCGACTGGACTTTGAGGACCGTACCCCATTCTAGGACTGTACCCCGTTCTAGGACTGTACCCCGTTCTAGGGCTGTACCCTATTCTAGGGCTGTACCCTATTTAGGGCTGTACCCTATTTAGGGCTGTACCCTATTCTAGGGCTGTACCCTATTCTAGGGCTCTCATCCTCATCCTGCGCTCGAACTGACAAATACATAACTACTAGTTAGTATTAAGTTATTGACAAATTTACTTACTGTTCAAATGTGCCAATTAAGTTAAGTTTAGTGATTTTTAACTCTTTTCTTGATTTTAAATTGCGTTTTTCGGGGTGAAATAAGTTAGGTGCCAAAGGTAGAAAGTGCTTAAAATAGACTAATTTTGGTAATAAGGCAATAAAATGCAATATAACCTAAGTAGTATAAGTTCAGTATTACTAGACACAAAAAATGAGCTTCAAAATTTACGATGGGATTGGATGCCTCCTTGTGTTGGTTAGTCTATGCTTTAACTTAGGTCCTTCTAGCCTCTAGGCTACTTATGAGTCTAGGATAGGGTATCTGATTTATTTTCAGATCCAAATTGAAATCCATTCTCACCTACCCTTTTTATATTTTTTAGTAGGCCTATCCGACTTCATCGTATTTAGGAAAACTCATTAGGGCCTAAGTTATTTTCCTTCTTTCTTATCTAAGTTTACCCTTTGAGTGCTTATTTTTTAGTGTTTATTCACTAAATTGTTCGTCCAGTCTAGAGCTTTAAATTATGCTTATCATGACATATATTTACATTTGACAACTCTGAGATTTGAACCCATAACCCCCAGTTTTTCGTACACCCTGTATATTAAAAATGGTAAAAATATTTTTATGTTGTTCCTTGGGTATGAATTAGTGGGAAAAAGTGTTTTTTCATCTCTGTATGTCAAGCCGTTCGTTCTGTAATCTGTTTAGGACAGCTTAGAAGACTCACCCTGTATATGGACCAGCTGTCGCAATTTTTTATAAAAAAAGAGTATTTGTATTTTCTGCCTTATTTTTTGTAGCTAACATAGTTGATGGTTTATAACAGTTGCTATAAGTTCATATAGGCCTAGTCATAACAAGTTGTTCTATCAGTTTGGGTAAAAAAATTTTGTATTTGTCATAAATTAGTAAATTTAGTTCAGCACAATCTGTCAGTGGCTCATATCAACTACAACCATTTTGATTATAATACCCCCGCTGCAGCAAAACTGCAGACTAAGCGAATTTCCATTTGCCTAAATTGATTTTAAATGAAATCTATTTAAATAACATTAGGTTTAATGAGTTCCTACCTAGGTTTGCTGCTACAGGGAGGCTAATAAAGGTGTTTTTTAATGAAATATTAGTGATGGGTAGCCTCTGGACCATTAAGCAACAATAATAATGGTTTAATTTACCTCTGTCAATATGGTCCTTGCGTAGTTTGTCACTACTGCAGTTTCGTGCTCGTGGAGCACATCATCAGGTGAAGGTCACAAAAAGTTAAAACATTTTCCTTACGTGAAGGTCGTCAATTTAACACACCGAAAAAAACACATAACACACGAACGGTACGAAAAAACATTTGAACTTGGCCAATACATTAAACATTACACACGGGGTCCGGCGCCGGTAGAAGGCAAGTCATGACTGACGTGTGTTGTAGTCGGTAGCCCCTCCGTCCTCACTTCTCTTATCAGAACCTTTTCTTTGGTCTTGTTCCAGGATGTGAATGGCGGTATTATAAATAATGTTTGACTGGAATGATAGTTGTTCGTTTAAAATATGGTTTGGATGTACTTTAGCTGCTCGGTAAATTTCAAATTTTTCGATGGTGTCCATGCACTTTTATGACAAGTCACAGAGTTTTAGATGGAAATATTAGTACCGTAGCTTACTATAAAATAAATAAATTTGCCAAGTTTTATCAAAATATTTCCATAAACAAGCAAACTACAACATTTTACATTATTCTCCATAATAATAACATAGGAATTTTAAATTTCCAATAACCCTTCAAAAACACTTTGGTATACTAAATTATTTGTTTTTTAAGCTTCCTAAAATGGTCTAGAGAGAAATTTTGAAATTTTGTTTTTTGAGGGTAAAAAATGAGAAAAACCAGTTTTTACCCTTTAAAACCCCCCGTAGGCCTAAAACCCTGTTTCCATGGTTCGATCATGCTGGATCTCGAACTCATTCAAGTTTATCCCGCCTTACACCTCCAAACCAAGTTTCATCAAAATGGGACAAACATCACTCAAGTTCACCCACGTTTATATATAAATATATATATAAAAATTGAACGAATAGGGTTTTTGGCCTCTATGGACATCAAAATGAATAAGTATATCGGTCCCGGCTCCAGGTCTTATCATGCCACCTACGGTAATAGCTAAGCCTACTTCCCTATGGGGAAATTCGCTAAAACTGGCAACAACTTTAGTGTGGGCCTATTAATATACTATATTATACATATGACAATTTTGTAGCGGAAGCTGATGAATCCAAGCACGAAGTGAAAGTTGAAATTCACAGCCATGAAAACATGGAACAAGTTATAGAAGATGAAGTTCAATTGGAGTTTAGTGAAACAGATTACAGTCAAGTTGATTTCAGCCAGGTTGAAGTCATTGAAACTGATGCTAGTGTAAATGATGTCAATTTGTCGGGTGAGTATGTGTATACCAATAGGTATCTAGCTGGGCAATGATTATTTGAAGCAAAAATTTTATAAACTTTTAGCTGTAGCAAAAGTACACATACTCCGTATCCCCAAAAATGCTTTGAAATTTTGAACTATTAATAAGTATTTTTATTATATCTGCTGATCCTATCATCGTCCCACTCTAAAATTTTTAAAGTTTACTTACTAGATTATAAACTTGAACATATGTAATACAGGGTGGCGCAGATGGATCGGGTGGTTTTAAAATACTTGTCAAACTGTCAATTTTAAAGGTATTGGATTGAAATAAAGTGCAAAACGTGTAGTTACAATGGAAGTTTATTGAAAAAAATTAGTTAAGTTAGTTTTTTTTAAAATTACATCCATCAAATGCCTTCCTTCTCGAGCGACGCATTCTTGGAGTCGGTCCTTGAGGTTCCGCATTGCTCGCTCAAGCACATCACCAGGAATTGATGTGATTTCGTTGTGAATTGCAGCCTTCACCTCATGAATGGTCCGGGGTTTGTTCATGTAGACCCTTGCTTCAGGAGTTGAAGGCTGCAATTCACAACGAAATCACATCAATTATCAATTCCTGGTGATGTGCTTGAGCAAGCAATGCGGAACCTCAAGGACCGACTCCAAGAATGCGTCGCTCGAGAAGGAAGGCATTTGATGGATGTAATTTTAAAAAACTAACTTAACTAATTTTTGTCAATAAACTTCCATTGTAACTACAAGTTTTGCTCTTTATTTCAATCCAATACCTTTAAAATTGACAGTTTGACAAGTATTTTAAAACCACCCGATCCATCTGCGCCACCCTGTACTAGCAGAGTACCCGTCCTTCGTACGGGGTTGGCATATAAGTATAAAATGCGTATCGCATTTATACTCAAGCTTTGCGTTTATAATAAAAATCCATTTTAAAAATCCAAGGGAAAATTCTTTGTTATCACTGGTGATTTTAATATAGTAGATATTCTTAGCATAAGTGACTGTGTAACCAGACAGTTTCAGGACATCCTCAGGACTTATTCACTCCAATGGTCAGTGAACTCTCCTACTCGTGTCACAGCCACATCCAAAACCGCAATTGATAATGTCATAACTAACGTGCCCAACAGCCTTGTCAGTCACAGTAATTGAAACAGCAATATCCGATCACTTTGCACAAGAAACTGTGATAAGAACTTGCTTGCAAGAACTTGCTTGCCAGAACTAGATCTCCCATCCATAAGTACAAAAAGAGACTTCCGCCCAAGCAATATATCACTTTTAAAAAGAAATCTTTCCATTGAGAATTGGGATTTTGTAGACGGCGTTTCATCGTTCGATGAGGCTTTTAATTGTTTTCACCCCCAAAGCAGAATGGTTCCTACGTGTCTGCAACGGCCTGTGAAAACCTCAAAATGTGTCCGCAAGCGCTAAAACTAAAAAGCTAAATAATGACTTATATACCGGTATATATATATATATATATATATTCACTCTTTAGGGCTACTAGTAATATAGTTAAATAAAATAAGTAAATTTCAATAACTTGTATAGCCTACTTTTAAAACAAAAAACTAAAAAAACTATTAAGGGGTAGGCATAATCAGGTTATTTAAATTTACTTTTTTTTAAATACGTATATATATATACACATACCTTAACAAGTGTTAACAAAGTCTTTAGAAGTAAAACTTTAAATGTACTATAGTTTCTTTATATAAATACACTAGGGATGGACGGGATTGAAATTTTAGTTCGGGACGGGACGGGATTTTTATTTCCTTCCCGATTTTCGGGACGGGATGGGACAGGATTTTTTTCTGTGCATAAAAAAAAGTACTGTATTGCAGTTACCAAAAAAGACATACGAAATCAATGTTTACCATTTGTGGCACTGATCTATAAAAACCAAAAAATGGGTAACAATTTACAGGTACCTATAGAAACTTGTGACTCGCGGGTCACGGGGTGATCGTCTGTAGAACTCACGGTCACGGCGCGATCGTCGTCATGACTCGCGGTCACGGCGCGATCGTCGGTATGACTGCGGGACTCCGCAGTCACGGGGTTATCGTCGGTATGACTCCACGGTCACGGCGCGATCGTCGGTATGACTCGCGGTCACGGCGCGATCGTCTAGACTCCTCATCCCATTGTAAATTTTGAAGCTTGTTTTTCATGTCTAGTTCATGTACGTCCACACTGATCGCTGGGGTAGACCACATTTTGTTTCTATTATTTTAGGGTTATTTTCATGATTTGTGCTTTACTATTTGGTTATATAACTAGGGGACCAGTTATTCTTTATGATTAAATCGTTTTATATGATTAAATGAGGTTTTAAATGACTGAAATAACAAGAAACAAATTGTAAACACAACATAACCTCTACAGTTGGACGTACAGAACAAACAATAAAATTGGCTCCAGCTGTTCCATAAGGATGACAAATCTACTAAGGGAGTATGATTTATATATGGTATGACTCGCGGTCACGGCGCGATCGTCGGTATGACTCGCAGTCACGGCTCGATCGTCAGCATGACTCCGCCATCACGGCATGATCGTCAGTATGACTCTGCGGTCACGGCGCGATCGTCGGTAGGACTCTGCGGTCACGGCGCGATCGTCGGTAGGACTCTGCGGTCACGACGCGATCGTCGGTACGACTCGCGGTCACGGCGCGATCGTCGGTAGGACTCCGCGGTCACGTCGTGATCGTCGGTATGACTCGCCATCATGGCATGATTGTCAGTATGACTCCGCGGTAACGGCGCGATCGTCGGTAGGACTCCGCGGTCACGGGGCGATCGTCGGTATGACTCGCGGTCACGGCGTGATCGTCGGTATGACTCGTGGTCACAGCGTGATCGTCTTAGGACTTCGCGGTCACGGCGCGATCGTCGTTATGACTCCACGGTAACGGCGCGATCGTCGGTAGGACTCCGCGGTCACGGGGCGATCGTCGGTATGACTCGCGGACACGGCGTGATCGTCGGTATGACTCGTGGTCACAGCGTGATCGTCGGTAGGACTTCGCGGTCACGGCGCGATCGTCGTTATGACTCCGCGGTCACGGCGTGACTGTCGGTATGACTCCGCGGTCACAGCCCGATCGTCGTTATGACTCGCGGTCACGGTGCGATCGTCGGTCCAATAATCGCGGCCACGGCGCGATCGTCGTTATGACTCCGTAAATGTGTCCGCAGGCCCGCGTTTCTCGGCGTTTCGTGTCCGCGACAATGTCGCAGCGTCGCTCGTTGTTCTGCTTTGGGGGTTTTCATAAAACACTGATTTACCATCTTGATGTCACTTGTCCATTTAAAAGAAAATAAAACAAAAGCAAAAAAATACAAACAACACTGGATTACTCGTGGTATTCTTGTATCAAGAGAAAAAATAAAATTTCTCTCAAAGATAAATAGAACAACAAACGATGAACAATTTAAAACGTTTTTCAAAAGATTCAAGAAAATTTACAGAAATGTAAATTATCAAATTTCTGGAAATTTCTGGGAAATGTAAATCAGCAGGGAAAGCCTACGATATAAACAAAAGAATTATAAATTCAGAGAATATCTCCAAAACCACATGGAATATTATAAACAACATGAAAAACAATAAAAGAAAATGTAAGCCAATCACACTCAATGTCAATGGGAACCTGACAAGTAGCCCAGAGGCTGTAGCAAATGAATTTAACTCATTTTTCCTGTCTGTTGGGAAAGGAAATACAAACTTAAAAACAGGAATGCCATCAAATAAAAATCACTGGCACAGCCCCGCCTCTTCCCTAGTTTTATCCCCAACCAGCGAAATCGAGGTGGCACTTATCATTCATGACCTCTCAGCTAAAAGATCTGACGACATTAATGGCATATCAGTGTGGGTACTAAAGCAAGTATATTTACCTATTCTAACCCCATTAACAAAATTAATTAACTCTTCTCTTCAGTCTGGAACTTTCCCATCTGCATTAAAATCATCAAAAGTCATTCCAATTTTCAAAAAAAGATGATCCACAAATTTCAAACAACTACCGCCCAATTGCAATCTCACCAGTTCTGAGTAAGATTTTTGAAAGAGTTTTTCTTTTGAGGCTACACAATTTTTTGGATAAATATAATATTCTCTCAGAGAATCAGTATGGATTTAGACCGGGAAAATCCACCATTGATGCGGTAAATAAGTTAATTGAAGATGTCCTCGAGGGACTAGAGAGTCGCAAAAAAGCACTAAGTGTTTTTATCGACCTTTCTAAGGCGTTCGATTGTGGATCATGACATCCTGTTACAAAAGCTGGAGCTAAGTGGCATCCGCGGGGTGCCCCTTCTCTGGCTGAAATCATTCCTCATTGGTAGGACTCAGTATGTACAGGTGTCGGATGGTAAATCAAAGACTTCAAGGGTGTACCAAGGTGTCCCGCAGGGATCAATCCTTGGTCCAGTTTTGTTTCTGATTTATGTCAATGACATCCACTCCTCAATGAACAGTGGGAAGATCATACAGTATGCAGATGACACGACTCTCTATTTTGAATCAAATTCCCAAGAAACCCTTGAAATTGAAAGCTTCATCAACTTGAACGCCTGCATTCAAAAGTTCCAATCCGAAAATTTAAGCACGAACAAATCAAAAACATGTTACATTCATTTTGCACTTTGTCACCATGACGATGAGTCTACACCCACAGTAATGGTAGATGACACCTCTCTAGAGGAGGTTGATTCTATCAAGCTCTTAGGGATGCACCTGGATAAGGCGCTGAACTGGCAAGATCACATTGATAGCCTCTGCTCCAAAATCACAAAAGGTATTTTTGCCTTAAGGAATCTCAAACAGACCTGCACAAAACAAGTTCTAATCATGGCCTGTTATGGCCTTGTTCACCCCCACCTTACCTACGGAATTAGGTTATGGGGTGGTTGTTCCAATCGAGATTTTGAAAGGGTGTTTGTACTCCAGAAAAGAGCCATCAGACTAATTGCAAATTTAAGTCAACATGAAAGAGAGACGTGTAGGCTTGCTTTCAGGGAGCTTGGAATCTTGACCCTACCTTCCCTTTACATTTTGGAGACTGTGGTTTATTGCCGTTTCCAACACTTACCAATTCAAGGCAATGCTATCCACAGCTATGGAACTAGAGCAAGGGACGATTTTCGCACTGTCCAACACCGCACAGCTGCGTTTGCGAAACTCCCTTCTCAAGCAGGTGTCGGTTTCCTTAAACGCTCTTCCTGAGAGACTAAAAAGCCTGGAGAGTTCTCATTTGTTCAAAACAAGACTGAAGAGAGAGTTGACGAATCTTGTGTTCTATGGGGTGGATGAGTTCACTAAATACCGTTGGAGTTGAATTGATTACAAAATTTTCTTCCCCAGGGGTTTAGTTAGATTTTAGTCAATGTTTATTAAAATAATTACTGTTATTTCTTTTGATAGGAGTTTATTTACTGTTATTAATTAAAAGTTTATTCATTTACTGTTTTTACATAGCATATATATACAGATTTTATAAAAAAATACCTACCCAATTTCCGACCTTAGTTTACACAGCTACATATTATATTTTATCTTATTTGTTGCATTTTTTGTATTGACTGACGTTTGCTATACAATGTACAATTGTCAAAAAGCAATAAAGAGATTATTATTATTATTATTACAATGGGAGAGGACACAGTTTGATAAAATTTCCTTTAAATTTACTATAGTATTACACATCTACCATAGCCATTATGTTCTACCACTTCAGTTAAACAATTAAGAGAAAAATAAATTATTAAAGATTCACAAAATATCACAAATTATTCATGTGATTAAAAACATAAACATTAGTGTAAACAATCCAACTTTGACAGTTCTCATTGCGTATCACGGTTTTTTGTTGGTTGGTTCAAATTTGATGTTTTATAAATAAAATACCCCCGCCGCAGCAAACCTGACTAGTGAATTTCCATAAGCCTGATTGGATTTACACTAAAATGTCTCCTTAAAAATATCACATTTATTCCCTATTTCTTCCATTTGCTTTGATTTTATGTTTATATTTTGTTGTTATTTTCATCACCAACATGGCAACCCATAAAGCCCATGTTAATTTTTTTTTAATTTCAAATTCATTTTTTGTGCTTATTTTTGAGCCTATTTTAATTTTTAAAGGGATTCTGCGCATCTACAGGAAAACATCTTTCTAACAGTGTGAGTAGATTTTACCTGCGATGCACATGAGCTGAGAAAAAAGGTTCCAAAGAAACATGCTTGCCTAATCCTACTAATATTATAAATCTGAAAGTTCGTGAGTTTGTATGTATGTGTGTTGCTCAATCACGCATAAACTACGGCACGGATTAGGCTGAAATTTAGGGTGAGGTTCATAATGTCCAAATTTCACAAACTCCAACGTCTAAAATATTAAATAAACAGTGCGTTTCATAATGTCCAAACTTCATAAACTCCAAAACTATAACTTTCAAATAAGCACCGTTTCACAATGTCCAAATTTCACAAACTCCAACGTTAATATATTAAATAAACAGTGAGTTTTATAACCTCCAAATTTCATAAACTCCAAAACTATAACTTTTAAATAATCACTGATTCACAATGTCCAAATTTCACAAACTCCAACGTTTAATCATCAAATAAACAGAGCGGTTCATAACCTCCAAGTTTCATAAGCTCCAACGGTACAGTCTCTGCCAGAAGTCGCTGCAGATGGACTATTGATGTGCCTGCTATCTGACTGTGGCAACCACTAGAGAGACTTCTGGCCCAGACTGTACCGTTGGAGGTTATGAAATTTGGACATTATGAACCACTCTGTTTATTTGGTATCAAAACGTTGGAGTTTGTGAAACTTGGACATTGTGAGACAGTGATTATTTGAATGTTATAGATTTGGAGCTTATGAAATTTGGAGGTTATGAACCGCTCTGTTTATTTAATATTTAAACGTTGGAGTTTGTGAAACTTGGACATTGTGAAACAGTGATTATTTGAATATTATAGTTTTGGAGCTTATGAAATTTGGACATTATGAAACGCGCTGTTCATTTAATATTTTAAGCGTTGGAGTTTGTGAAATTTGGAGTTTATGAAACGCTCCCGAAATTTAGCATGATGATAGCTCACATTCCTGATTAACATTTAGGCATATTCTTATATCAAAAGTCCTTCCGGGCTCCGCCCCAGTGGCTCTGTAGTTCCCCATGTTAACCTTATGAGTAATTACTGTATATTTAAATGGAATTAAAGAATCTTAACAGCTGGTTCAACTAAACAATTTGATTCTGTGATGTTCAATAGCATTAAAAGGTTACAAGATTAACCAACAGGGTGCAGCACTACTATTTTTTTAATTTATGACAACAGCTAATTTGCAACCAAAAGGTGAGTGAGCGTGTAGCGAACAAAATTCAACCTGGAGGCGAGTTAACGTAGCGAACGAGCTCCAACATAAATGAGCCACTCTAATGAGTTAGATCAGACGATTTGTAGGAAATGGGAGCAATTTTGACAGAAATAAATCCATACACGAGATTGTACAAGAATCTACACAAAGTTTTTACACCTGTATTGCTAAATATTTTTTTTATTGCCCGAACGAAGAGCGGGCCAAACAGCTAGTATTAATATATAGATAGATTAGTTTAATGAGTAGGCCTACTTAGGTTTGCTGCAACAGGGAGGGTAAAAGTGTGTTTTTTACATGTTAATAGTTTAGTAAGAAATGAATGTATTTTCCAAAGTCGATCAAAATATGTTCATAAACAAGCAAACTACAACAGTTGACTTATTCTCCATAAGAATAACATGGGAATTTTTAATTTAAATTTTTTTGGAATTTTCTCCGTAACCATTAAGCGCATAATAATGCTTCAATATACAAATTGTTTTTTTTAAGTTCTACAAAATGTGTTAAAAAGAAATTGTGAAATTTTGTGTTTGGCCAAAAATGAGAAAAACCTAATTTTACCCTATAAAACCCCCCATAAACCCTCGTTTCCATAGTCTGATCATGCTGGTTTGCGAACTCGTTCGAATAAATGCAGGTTTACACGTTTATACCAAATTTCATCAAAATCGGATCATTTTTGCTCGAGTTATAGTGCTGACGGACACACATATATATAGGCCTACATAAATATATATATATATATATATATATATATATAAATATAAGAATTTGAACAGATGGTGTTTTTGGTCTCTAGGGACCTCAAAACAAAAAAGTAAATCGGTCCTGGGTCCAGGTCTTACCATGAGTACTACGGCAATAGCTTATTCCCTATATGGGAAATTCGCTAAAAATAATAGTGGTGAACCCTGTTGACAAATCTTATAACTTTTTTAATGCTTTTGCATATCATAGAACCAACTTTTTTAGCTGAAACAGCTGACTAATTGTTTAATTCCCTTTAAATATGAATACTCATAAGGTTAACATGGGGAACTACAGAGCCACTGGGGTGGAGCCCGAAAGGGTTTTTGAGATAAGATTATGCCTACTCTATACGTTTATCGGGAATGTGAGCTATTATCATGCCAAATTTCAGCCGAATCCGTCCAGTAGTTAATTAATGCGTGATTGAACTTCAAACAAACACACAAACTTTCGTATTTATAATATTAGTAAGATAAGATTAAAAACTAACAAAAAAACCACTTAGGACTAACAAAAAATATTTTTGAAATTTTTGAAAAAAAGAATTATTTATTAAAGTAGGTTTAGTTTGTTAAGATTATATCTATTTAAATTCTCTTTAAAATGAACCATTGTACGACTTGATAGGGCAAATAGAACTCATCTTAGAGAATATTTTAGATCGGCACAAACTTTAAAACCACTAATTTTTACCACATTAAAATACATATTTAGATTAAAACAACTATCTAAGATAAATTTAAAAAAAATTATTTGGATTAAGGAAAATATTTCTTTTATGCAACATAATCAAACCATAGATGTTTAAGTTTGAGTGCCTTGTTGATTTCACATGGAATGACCCCTAGTTATTGTGATTGTCTCCCCCCTGTGATAGCTATGATTTAAAATGTGTTGGACATGTTCCTTTCAGACATCACACTTCTTTGTATATGAAGGTTTGGGATATTTGGTAGTGACTGTATTGGGCTGTTAAAATAAATTTATTATTTAATCTCAGAAACAATTGGCCACGAGGAGATGGTGCAAGAGTACATGATAGAGGTGCAAGAACCTCAGTCAGACCTGAGTCAGATGGAGTTTACACAAGACATGGAATCTGAGACTGCTGAGGAGACCTCTCCACCAAAAAACATAAAGAAAAGAAGAATGTGTAAGTATCCGGTAGTCAATCACAGAATATGTTTAAATAGTGTAGTGTACAATATCCCAGGGTGAGGGGGAACCAGTCGACCACACTATTAGCCTCCCTCTTTCAGTCTATTAGGTGGGCAGGGCACAGTTGTGGGTCAATCCATATCAAGTGGTCCAGAAATAAATTAAATGGTTGCTTCAAGATTTTTAATTTTTTTCATATTTTTATCCTTGAAAGTATATATTATTAGAAGTACAAAAATACAATTTTTTTATTTTATTTTTCTTCTGTATGGCGGCCATTTTTTTGTTACTCGAACGGCCGTTTTCAGCGATTTCAGAGCTCTGCGTAAAATTAAATATCTCTGGTTCTACTAATCCTAGAACATTAAAATAAAAACCAATCTCTTCAGAAAGATCTGAACTTTAATATGGTAATATATTGATGGACTTAAAACTAAATATATAGGTCTAATTACCTGTTTAAAGTTTAACGCAACGATGTTACGAATACTGATTTTAAACAATTTATTTTTATATAAAGGCAATTGACTATGTGTTTGTCATGTTTTTATCTGATAGTTATAGGTGTGTACTCCAAATTCTCAGTTTCAAGTTGTGGACTTGCATAGGGCTTTAAATAAAAATTTTCAAAATGTTAAAATTTTCAAAATTTCAAAAGTTTGATGCTTAATATCTTTGTTGACAACCAAATTTTGAATGCTAAGGATATGTTTAACTTTTGTTAAAACAAACCCTTAAAGGAATTCAATACTTTTAAAATAAAATTATTACAGCATAATAGTCTTACTTAGTACTATATCTGAGCCATATTTGAAATTTTTATTTTCATGCCCAACAAAGATATTAAGCATCAAACTTTTGAAATTTTGAAAATTTTAACATTTTGACAATTTTTGTTTAAAAGCCTATGCAAGTCCACAACTTGAAACTGAGAATTTGGAGTACACACCTATAACTATCAGATAAAAACATGACAAACACATAGTCAATTGCCTTTATATAAAAATAAATTGTTTAAAATCAGTATTCGTAACATCGTTGCGTTAAACTTTAAACAGGTAATTAGACCTATATATTTAGTTTTAAGTCCATCAATATATTACCATATTAAAGTTCAGATCTTTCTGAAGAGATTGGTTTTTATTTTAATGTTCTAGGATTAGTAGAACCATAGATTTAATTTTACGCAGAGCTCTGAAATCGCTGAAAACGGCCGTTAGAGTAACATAAAAATGGCCGCCATACAGTAGAAAAATAAAATAATTGTATTTTTGTACTTCTAATAATATATACTTTCAAGGATAAAAATATAAAAAAAATTAAAAATCTTGAAGCAACCCCCTCTGGACCACTTGAAATGGATTGACCTATTTTTGGCTCAACTATTTTGGTACAAACTTTCTAAAATGATCACACAATCAATACTGTGGTTACAAATAGGGGGCCCAGGGGGCAAGATTTTTTTGTTGGGAACACAAGCAACAGACAATATTTGGAAAATATCTGAAATTGCGTGACAGTAGAATCCTCCTTCACTTCGGTTCCCACTCATGACTCATCACTGCCACTGCTTGCACATTATTATGTCACTACTTTTTCCGCCTTATCTTTATTTGTTGGCTAATTAATTTTGTAATGTATTTTTTTCATTACTCAGCAATATCAGTTCCCTTTGTCAAATGGGTGAGAAACATGTTATCAATTGAATTAAGTTACTGTCGTATTTTTGCTTATGATTTTATCTACGTTCAATGAGTTTTATTTTGCATTGTAATATCACACACATTTTCTATGAAATAAGCAAAAAAAAAAAAAAACCAAGTGGCAGTGAGTTAAGAAAGAGGGTGGCAAAAACATTTGGCAGTAAAAATTGTAACAAAAGTTTTTTAAAATAAGTAGTCATTAACCCATTCGCGCCGACTCTTGTGCTGGTTACGTGGTGGCTGGACTGAGCACCGAATCACCCTGGTTACGTAGTCTGTATTTGACAACATTCTGTCAATCCAACAGATAGTGTTGGCGTGTCTTATTCACGACACAACCACAAATTTTCAGTTTTAGATGTTGGCTAACCTGATTGTATCCAAACATTGGTTATGTTGTCAGCTTGATTTGTGATTGTTTTGCTCCACAGCTGGCTAACCTTATTTCAATATCAGCGTTGTGTTGTTTACTTTGTTGTTTTTTTTGTTAAAGATGTAATCATATATATTAAAACGTGACAGGTTTTTTTTATTTCACGATTATGAATCAACCACTTGATGGATTTTCATGATTTTTGTGTTGAAAGAAAGATATTTTTAAAAACTAGGGAATTTTGAAGCCATAATTTTAGTTTAGAATTTCAGTTTTTTAGAAAATAAGTTTAAAATTTTAAAAAGTCTAGCAGTTGACTCTAACATTTTACACTAGCTTTTGGTACAATACCATTTGCTTAACATAACAGCTGTAAGCATTAAGCGTGTGTGACACAAAATCAGCACTTGGATAATAATGACATGCATAGGGTTGACTTATTTATACTATGTGTAATGCTATACTAATTGATACGCTCATTTATTTGCCAAGAGGATGACAGACTATTTAAATATACATGGTAAAATGCTAGATGTTCTAATTTATTTTAAAAGCAGTCTTTAAAATTTTAAATTTGTTTTAGTGCAATATAATTTGTTTTGACTAACAGCTGGTTGAATATAAAAATATTCTATAGAACTACCAGGGTAGTTTATTATTCTGTGATTTTGCCATTGATTATAGGAAATGAGAAAGATTCTATAACCATTGATGTATACAAATTGTGAAGTGAAAGGTAAAACTCACACCACAGTTAAACATAGATACTTTATTAGCCAAGATCCCAAAAGTAAGTCCTCAAGCTCAAAACAACAATACAATAAAAACAAACATCAAATATGCAACATATGATAACAATTATAAAAATACCAAACAGCACATCTTCTCTTTTCTCTTTTTTTTTAGTTTATTTATAAAAATCTGAATCACTGTATCTAAGAGGTGGTTTTACACTTCTTTTAGGTCTGTCATTTTCATTGCTATTGTAATTATGTCCAGCATCAGTTTCAGTTCCTTGGTCTTCTTGGTATTGGTGTTCAAATCTATTTTCACCATTTTCAATAGGCCTATGCACAGCTATTATATGTCTCCTGTTCCTTCTGATCTTCCCTGCCTGTGTATTTATCAGGTAGGACCAAGGATGATTTGATTTATTCTCAACATGTCCATAACGTTTTAAATCTGGAATCCAAACTTTGTCATTTTGATCAAGCTGTGAGAGATCTCTTACACCTTTCCTTACATCGTAGTTTCTCTTATTTCTTTCCTTGATTGAAAAATCCTTCTCTTTAAACTTTTGCAATCTTTCCCTTGTTACCTGTCTGAAGTTATTTATTGACGGTAATGTTGATCGGAGCTTCTCCAACCACATCTCCAGTAGTCAATGCATCCACATAAACCAGTTCAAGAAATCTAGAATAGTAGTCTTGCACAACTAAATACCATTTCGCGTTACATTTCAAAAGGTCAATACCTAAAGACTCCCCGGGATTTTTTGGTAGTTCAGTCAACAGTAAAGGTTATGATTTGTTACTTCTTTGCTCCAAGCAAACTGGACAATTTGTTACAAGTGTAGCAATATCTGTTGAGCAGCCAGGCCACCACACCGATTCATACACTCGCCTTCGACATTTGACAATTCCCATGTGACCTTCATGTATTTTACTCAGTATTTCCTTTCTCAACGATTTTGGAATAAACAGTCTTGTGCCTAAAAGGAGGAATCCTTTACTGATGTTTAGATCAGTCCTGTACTTCCAATACACCGAATTTTTATTCCAATTGTTATTCACAATCCAGGATTTAATTCTTCCGCATTCCTCATCAGGATCCTGAGCTTCTTTGATTTCCTTGAGCCTTTTGTCAGAACAAGGAATAGCATATAAAGAAAGGCCAAATAGGCTATACCGGGCTACAATGAAATGTGTTTTATTTTAAATTAAGTGTTTAATGTGGGATTTTATTTCGAGATAATAGGCCTACTATGTTTTTGTTTGATATTTTCAGTCTGTCAGAGACAAGTGACTTGATCATTTTTATAAATGTACTGAGTGAAGAGGATAGCCCTAGTACCCATAACCTTCAAACTTAAGACAGATGAAGTGCTTATCTAAGTGATTATTTTTAAATACCTAATTACATATTGATGTTTTTAACTTGTGATACAATATGTAGTTTGATATTAGTTTTCTGTTTTATAAATACATTTATTTTTATAAATTCTGTTTCTTATTTGAATTGAAATTATTCTTAAAGTTACCTTATTAAGTTAGTTAGTTAGGTTGATTATCATGTTAGTGAGGAGGAATTACAGGCAAGAAAAAATAAAACACACAAGAACAAGTGATGTGTAGGCCTAAATAATTTAATGCTGCAGCGAACAAGTAGTCTAGGCCAAATTTTTGATTAGGCCTAAGGTACTAATAATTAGTAACCATATAACTTAGAAAATTTGGTATAAGTACTTAAACTACCTATTTAGGCCTAGTCAGGGTTTAGGCTAGGATGAAATTTGTTTCAGCAAAATGCTGCAAACTCTCTGCAAAGACAAAAACTAAGTTAACTGTAGAAAAAATATTATTCAATAACTTAAGCATTTAAAACAAAAAATTCCAGTAGGCTAATATTATATTTGTTTGAACATTACATCTTTCAATTTTATTTGTAGAAAATTTGCCATAGGCCTAGCCTGCAAAACAATGTAAACTTAGCATTTTTAAGTTGTGAATAGCAAGATGCTAAAAATACTACCGCAGCTTAAACCCAGGGCCTAGGCCTACTTAACGCGCAACTACTCGACTCGATACTCGAGTTTTTACTCAAATACTCGACTCGACTCGACTCGAATTGAAAAATCACTACTCGCCCACCCCTATTATAGTCTTACCATAGACTTACCAAAACAAGTAAACTTTAAACCTACATCCCATTGTAAACTTTGAAGCTCGTTTTTTGTGTCTAGTTCATGTCCTGTGACACTGATCACTAGTGTCGACAAAATTGTGTTTCTATTATTTTATAGTCAACTTCATGATTTTTGTTCTTTACTGTTTGGTTATATAACTAGGGGACGTGTTATTAGTTGTGATTAGAACCTTTTATTTGGTTAAAAGAGGTTTTACATGACTGAAAACAAGAAACAATTGTAAACAAAACACAACCAACCTCTAAAGACAGTGCACCGGACAGAACTAACAATAAAACTGTCTTCAGCTGATCCATAAGGATGAGAAATGTTCTAATATAATTGAGTAGGCTATGTTTTATATGTGGTTTTCTTGCTTAAATAGTAGCTTATTGGTATGCAAAAAGATAATACTGCACATTTAATTAATACATGAATTAAAATAACCCTGTCACGTTTTATTGTATGAATATTATATCTTCTCCTATTATTTACTAGTGGTGCTTAGGTGTAGAAATCTAAAAACTGTTTTAAAACATGTAACATTAATACTAAAAAATTCAACACATTTTAGAATTTGGCAACTATTTACTAATAGGCCTACAATGCTTTGGTTTAACTCATAATTCATAACTCATTTATTGAACCAAAATAACAAATACAAAATTTGCATTGGTCATGTCAAATAATAGAACTAAAATTAAAATAAACAATAGACAATGTTGCTTCAATAAGACAATATCAATTACTTCTTACAACAACAAAAAAAACTAACCAACTAAACCCATCAGCGACACAATCTCGAACACTGTAGTAACCCTTGGCCAAGAGTATTTTTTTTATTTGCTTTTTAAAGCTGTTCAAGTCCGACTCCAGCTGAAGGGAGGGAGGGAGGAGATTAAAAAGTTTAATGCCATTGTAATGAAAGTGTCTCTTGAAAAATGTAGTTGAATGAGATGGTAATTTAAGATGAGAATTGTTACGTAGTGAATAGGAATGTGTAAGTGAAGATTGGTATTGGTGTAAGTTTTTTTTAATGAGAATCAAAGTTTCCAAAATGTATATTGAGGGAAATGTTAAAATTTGTGATGAAATAAAGTATTGCCTGCAAGATGTTCTTCTTTTCAAACCAAAGACTGCCCTAACTGCCCTCTTCTGGAGTCGGAAAAGGAAAGACGTTTTCCCACACTCACACCCCCACACCGGCACTGCGTATATCAGGTGCGGGAAAATCACTCCATAATATGCTGTAATTAGAACATCACATTTTGCAAACTTAGAAAGTTGGCGGAGAAGAAAGATTCCCGAAGAAATCCTTCTACACACAGTGTCAATATGGGAATGAAAGCGCAGGTTTTTATCAAGCACCAATCCCAAGAACTTAACCTGATCAGTTGCCTCGCTCAACATCATTCAAAAGGAAATTGTTTTTGTTTTTCCCAGCTGAACTTATAGAAAAATTTACAAATTCAGTTTTTCTGGCATTTAGACTCAATGAGTTGTCCTCGAACCACTGCATCATGGAGCTCGCTTGCAAAAAGGCCTTTATTTCGAGTTCATCGAAATTTTGATCAGAAACCGAGAGCGACGTGTCATCAGCAAACAGACAAATGTTTCCAGAATTTACAATTGATGGAAGATCATTCACAAAGACAAGGAACAACACCGGACCGAGGACTGACCCCTGAGGCACGCCACGAGCAGACTCGCAATGGGGTGAGCGGTAGGTATTCAGATATCCTAAGTCATCCACCCCCATCACAAACTGCTTCCGTCATGTAATGAATTACTTAAACCATTGCAGTGCCAGCCCTCGCAATCCAAGACAAGAAAGCTTATCAAGAAGCAATGCGTGATCCACCATATCAAAGGCTTTGCTCAGATCGAAAAAAAGCCCATTGTATGTTCCCCTGCATCCAATGAATTTACTAAATTTGAGATAAGGTCAGTCATTGCGTCTGTGGTGGTTTTCTTTTTTGTGAACCCAAATTGCTTCTCTGAAATAATATTATTTTTTGTAAAAAATTCTAATAGTCTTAGTAGTATTATCTTTTCAAATACCTTAGATATAGATGATGTTATGGCTATAGGTCTGTAGTTGTCGCAGAGGTGGCGATCTCCTTTTTTATGGAGTGGCTTAATAATGGACGTTTTCAGGGCATCTGGGAACTGGGCACATTCATAGGAGGCATTGATTAAGTTAGCTAGAGGGTTAGATACGAGGTCTGCAACTTCTCTTAACAGGTTTGGTGACAATTCATCTGTTCCAGCCGACCGTTTATTTTTCATCTCTTTTATGATCTTTTCTACTTCGGTCTTGTTTGTTGGCTTAAGAAAAAGGGAATCAGGAATAGGCTTTATATGATTTGGCTTGTCTTTCTTATCTGATGGCATACTAACTGATGTAAAAAAATTATTAAAGACATTAGCAACTTGTTGTGGGTCTTTAATTATGTCCCCCTTTTCATTATGAAGATTGATTTCTTTTGCATTACTACTTTTGTTTGGAAGATTTTCTTTAATAGTATCCAAGATGGCTTTATTTCTATTATCTGATTGGTTTATTCTATCATGAGTCATATCTGATTTTTGTTGCCTTATTTTATTTCTGTAAGTGCGTTTAATCTGCAAGTATTTTTGTCGAAGGTGGTGGTTAGAGTCTAAGTCCTTGGTTTCTACATAAAGATCAAGCATTTGGTTTTTCATATTTATTGTCTCCTTGTCCAGTTTGATTTTACCCTTAGACTGAATTTTATTAATTTTTTGTAATTTATTTGTGAAAGCAACTTAAAGATACCATAAAATTAATACTGTATTAGTTAAATAAAGTTAAGAGGATGACCTGGGTTCTACACTAATAGCCTACGATAAAAGAAATTTACAAGTTGTCTACCACTATTGTGTTATTGTGGCCTACCACTTTATTAATGTATTGATCAATATTTATTTAAATTCAATAGCTCTATTTAAAAATACATTACCGCTACAATGTATTTCTGTAATTACGTTTAACGTGTAAATTTTATCATGATTTATGATTCAATTTAATGATTCATTAAGGTTACAAGCCCAGTATATAAAATACGAACTCAATAATTTTATTTGCAGAAGTTCACAAAATGGTATTTATTCGAATGAAAGAAACAAATGGCGGTCTACGAAAATAGATATTTCATAACATGTAAATGATCCAAATTAAATGTACAGTATTATCTTTTTGCATACCAATAAGCTACTATTTAAGCAAGAAAACCACATATAAAACATAGCCTACTCAATTATATTAGAACATTTCTCATCCTTATGGATCAGCTGAAGACAGTTTTATTGTTAGTTCTGTCCGGTGCACTGTCTTTAGAGGTTGGTTGTGTTTTGTTTACAATTGTTTCTTGTTTTCAGTCATGTAAAACCTCTTTTAACCAAATAAAAGGTTCTAATCACAACTAATAACACGTCCCCTAGTTATATAACCAAACAGTAAAGAACAAAAATCATGAAGTTGACTATAAAATAATAGAAACACAATTTTGTCGACACTAGTGATCAGTGTCACAGGACATGAACTAGACACAAAAAACGAGCTTCAAAGTTTACAATGGGATGTAGGTTTAAAGTTTACTTGTTTTGGTAAGTCTATGGTAAGACTATAATAGGGGTGGGCGAGTAGTGATTTTTCAATTCGAGTCGAGTCGAGTCGAGTATTTGAGTAAAAACTCGAGTATCGAGTCGAGTAGTTGCGCGTTAAGTAGGCCTAGGCCCTGGGTTTAAGCTGCGGTAGTATTTTTAGCATCTTGCTATTCACAACTTAAAAATGCTAAGTTTACATTGTTTTGCAGGCTAGGCCTATGGCAAATTTTCTACAAATAAAATTGAAAGATGTAATGTTCAAACAAATATAATATTAGCCTACTGGAATTTTTTGTTTTAAATGCTTAAGTTATTGAATAATATTTTTTCTACAGTTAACTTAGTTTTTGTCTTTGCAGAGAGTTTGCAGCATTTTGCTGAAACAAATTTCATCCTAGCCTAAACCCTGACTAGGCCTAAATAGGTAGTTTAAGTACTTATACCAAATTTTCTAAGTTATATGGTTACTAATTATTAGTACCTTAGGCCTAATCAAAAATTTGGCCTAGACTACTTGTTCGCTGCAGCATTAAATTATTTAGGCCTACACATCACTTGTTCTTGTGTGTTTTATTTTTTCTTGCCTGTAATTCCTCCTCACTAACATGATAATCAACCTAACTAACTAACTTAATAAGGTAACTTTAAGAATAATTTCAATTCAAATAAGAAACAGAATTTATAAAAATAAATGTATTTATAAAACAGAAAACTAATATCAAACTACATATTGTATCACAAGTTAAAAACATCAATATGTAATTAGGTATTTAAAAATAATCACTTAGATAAGCACTTCATCTGTCTTAAGTTTGAAGGTTATGGGTACTAGGGCTATCCTCTTCACTCAGTACATTTATAAAAATGATCAAGTCACTTGTCTCTGACAGACTGAAAATATCAAACAAAAACATAGTAGGCCTATTATCTCGAAATAAAATCCCACAATAAACACTTAATTTAAAATAAAACACATTTCACTGTAGCCCGGTATAGCCTATTTGGCCTTTCTTTATAAACTCACATTTTCTAGGTTAAGTTACAATTCAAACTGTCGTTGTCATGTTTCTGCCACCCGAATTAAATATAAACGTATTATACAATCTTTTATCTTTTGAGCGTAGTTATTCTTATAAGATAGAATAATATCGTTGCCGATGTAATAGTTCCTCCTTTGCGTTATGCAATAGCGTCAAAAACCAAAGTTCCCGTATCTCTGACAGAATTCCTGGAAAATTCAAGCCACCGTAAAATTTCCGTACAATGCACGGAATTCCTATTGCGTGGACACCCTGGAACTGTGATTTTTCAAAAACAATAATGTAGGGTGTGTGTTATATCGAGGGAAAGACTCGTTAAGTAGTGGTTAAATTTGCTATGCAGAAGTTCTGACATGTCTGATAAATCCGTCATATGTTAAATTTTCTCCGGGATCGTCAACAACTTTTTTGATTAGACTGTATTTTGTTAAACAAGTTTTTAAATTTTTGAAATAACAAGAAACAAATTTTAAACAAAACACGACCTCTAGAGTGCACTGGACAGAACTAACAATGAAGTTGCTGTATAAAACCAACAAATTATTTTATTCTATTTGTAGACAGCATGGCGTCTGAGAGGGACCATGACTCATAGACTTTGTTTAGTCGTCATTGGATGCAATACGTCATTCTCTCTTCCTTCCTATTTTCCTTTCAACTGCTTTCTCCCCTCCCACACAAGGCGCAGTGCTCAGTGCCGCTCACTGTAGGTTGTCACGGCAACCGTGTGTCGTCATAGCGACTAGCCAATCACGCACTTGCACTGCGTTGTAGATTGCGATACAAATAGCTGTGTTAGAAAGACAACCTTATAGTGGTAGTTAGGCTTTCGTATCTCCTCAAAAATTACGATCGATAATCAATGCGTCTTGACTGAGCCTAGGTTCGTGCTTATCAAACCTCAAATGCATGAACAACTTAGAATTGTGGTAACTGCGTTTTCAATTGCGACACAAATTAAGTGTTATTTTAGTTTTGACTTAGTATTAAAAGCTCTGCTCGAACTTCGATCTTTTTCAAAATGCCTCGAGCCGAGCCGAATAATGAAAAGCTCGACTAAAAAGCTTGAAGGTTTGAGTACTCGCACACCCCTAATTTTGATGAAGGAAGATGTATACAAAAATCTAGGTTTTAATTCTATCTGTTTTACGATTAAATTAACTTGATTTTTGATCCACTAGACGAGTTGTTATTTTAGACGATATTTCCAACAGTTTTTATTGTATGAAGTAATTTATAGACAATTATAAGTAGTATAATTATAAGGAGATAATTCTAGTACTTCTGAAATTGATCGTTTCCTGAGCAGTGAGGATGAACTTGTCAGTCAGTAAGACAAAATCGGTATAACAGTACACCGATTTATTACCGTTGGTTACAAATGACGATGAAAGTAGGCCTAGTGGTGATGAAGCAAATTTTGATTTTCAAATTAGTGATGATTGGATTGAGGATGTTGGTTTGTCTTCAAACAATGAGGGAAGTTCTAGGCCTACTCTCAGGTAGGGTATCTCCCAAAATGAGCTGCTGTAAGGCCTAAGAATGTTTTTACCTATGTTATTACTTATAAAAGTAAACAACTTGTGATATTTCTACATAGGGAATCAATTGAACTATATTATATTGTCATTTTGTGTCTGGATTAATCTTGAAGTTTGATTGAATAAAGTTTACTTTAAAAATATTATTTTTAAAAATTTTTTCATTACTTTATAATTTTGTTATATTTTACACATTAAATTATCCAATTTGCACAAAATAAATGTCAACTCATCCTCCACTAGCCGTAGTATAAACAAATACGATAATTTCCGATCCCTCATTGGACGGTGCTTCAAGTAAGAGGATTCCGACCACAGAGCCAACAAATGTAGTAAACAAACCTTAAAATGCTCAAACTTTAAAAGGGATGGTCATTTGGCAACTGTTTGAGATATTTGAACCAACTACAATTATTATCAATTATTTAAGATCCTGATAAAACTAAATTTCAAAAGTCACAGGAAATTGTAATAATGTAAGCCTAAGATACAATCTCAGTAACCTAAACGTTGAT